ATATTGCTTCTCGTGCTTCGATAAACAACATTGTTTACTCCTCCAGCATGTACCAAATACGACGGAACGAGATAAGTCGGGAAAGCCATGGCGTTATGTTTACCACCAGCTATAAAAAGTAAGTCAATTCCTGTTTTCATTGAGTTAGCTTCTTACTCCTTTTACTTTTTACAGTTTCCATTTTTACCTTAGCCATTTCCACGTTTCCCTTAGCTTTTGGCTTGTAGGTGCTGTTCAGTTCTTTTTTTAAGCATGTTCACTTGAATAATATCCAACAAAATTTTGGGCTAGTCGAAATGATGAGACACCACGACGTGGCCCGACACGCCAAGTCTGTTCGAAATGTGAAGGATCGTTCATGCTAAGCGCAAGCAACATTCGTGGTTATCAATTTGGCAGACATTGAACATCAAGTTGGGTTAATTGAGTTTCTTCCTAATGGAAACTAGTTTTAAGTCAAGGCCCCCGACATTGTATTCAAGGAAAATTTTCAAGCAATTAAAGGAATGCTTTCCATTTTGTAAGTTTTCATAATTGCCATTCGTTTGATTACATTTTTTTTTTCCGATTACATGTCGAATATAATAAGGTCATATTTTCTTGGTGCAAAATGATAATAAAAGAATCACAGAACTGAAAAAAAGAACTTCAGAAAAAATCTGGTTTTTAAAATAAATAAAAAAATGGCAATTCGTTACCATTTGCTGCACAGGCGCAAAAAATTATTTTTTACACGGTAACCCATCAAATTCGGATCAAGATTGCTTCAAATTTTTGGTATATAGCAATCTAATTTAAACTTCGAGATAGTTTTTATAACATCTAAACTCTAAAATGACGGTTCCAGAAATGATTTTGAAGCATTTTTGTTTTTTTATGATATTTTCATCATTTGTAGCAATATTTTACTCAACTCTTATTGGCTGGGAATATCGAGCAAATAAACAAAATGGCAGGTATGTTTTCAATTAATTCACAGCAGCTGTTATATCCGCCATAGTGTTACAAGTTCATAGTTTTGCAGAAAAAAAGATTTTATAACAATAGGATCAATTAGAATTGCTGTCAGATGTATTGATGTTAAAGTTAACTAAAGATTTTAGAAGAGGAAAAATAAAGAGTATTTATAATACATAAAACGGACAACACTGAGGATACAATCATAACTAAATGAGTATGCTATCAATAACGATATCTACATTGGATAATTAGTGCTACTCATAGTCAATACAGAATTAATAACAATAACTTCTCTTAAGTTTGGACATTGATGTTACGATACCATGACACTTTGAAGTAATGACCTTACTTGGCAATTTTCTTTTTTTATGACCGATCATGATTTGGCTATGATTAATCAGTGATGCTAGCATATGCATTTATTATATGTACAATATATATGCGTGATGTATTACACTGTTTTAATTTATTGAAGCCGTTTAATAGTATCGAAGAACGAATGTGTCTCCTTGAAAATGTAAGAGAGAGCCTCCAGTATGATATGCTTTATCTTCAACGACAATTTTAGGGTATTTAAAGAATGGGGGACTATGCCTAAACCAGCGCTTTTTTTAATACAAGCGTATACGCTTCGTTTATGAACTTTATGTTGTATACAATACTCATCTTCCTCGATTCCCGTCCAGATACACCAATAAGTACAACTAAAATGTTCCAATGAATTCCGAATCTTGTAGCCATACAACGAAAAATGACGGGAAGTATAAAGTACGCGCATAAGCATCAGCCTGGATCTCTTTATGCTTAATTTTTAAGTTCGTCAGAAATGTCGAAATGGACCATTTTACGCTTACTTTTTGGACTTATAATTAGTGTTCAGTGATATCATTTCACCCTCATTTTTTAAGCTTGTTATTAGTGTCAGGCAGATCAGTTTTTGTATCCCTTTTGGCGTGAAATGAATGGTTATTTCCATAATTAATATTCTACCCTCGTCGTTCTTAAACAGATATAATTATTGCATTTTGATTTCAAATCTCAAAAGCAAGTGCTATCCAACAAAACGTCTTGAGAAAAGACTATTTACAAAGTTAGATCATACAGTGATCCTGACGCAGACATAATAATATTATTACGTAATGAACTACCAAAGCAAATGACGAATTGAACTAATTGTAAAACTAGCATTGGTAACTGAAATATACTGTCATCATCATTCAGGTACAAGTGCATATATCATGATTCTGTTACATCTTATGACCCAAATATGCTTTACGAGTAACCAGATTTCAGACTCAATCTTTATCATTGATCAGTCAGGTCTTTAAATCTTTTGTCATGATCCACATACGCTATGACAAACTTTTGTCATTGCTTATTCTTTTATTTCATTTCTCGTTTTTTTTCTCTATAAATATCGCTGATAAATTTGACTTCTCCTAGTTTTCTTTATCACATATATTTCATAGACATATTCTCTCTTTTTTTTTTAGCTGTATATTCTTAAATAAATAACTTGTTTACAAGAAGTATTTCATTCTCTTTTCTGTCATGCCTGTCTCGTTCCTCCTCGTTCATCCTCGTTCCTGATAACATATGTGTTTTTGTATGATTAAAAACTTTTATAGCTCAGGCCAAAAAAGCTTTCCTTACATATACGAACGTACCTTGCCAGAAAAAAAAATATCTAACAGGGCGGTAAGAATATAATGTTTTTTGGCACAAAAAAATAAAATTAAAAAATGTGTCTTGTCATCCTGTTATGTAGGTAAGTAACGAATTCAGTTGTAATCGAGTTTCCATACTAAAGAACGAGTGGACTCTCCTTATAAAAGCGAAGGTCGTTAGTGTAGAACTTGGGGCCAGGAATTGAGGCAAGTTATTGTGGCTCTGACATGAGGTGAGTGTGAAGGCCCATTGATATGTTCTAATGATGCCGTCCTAATGGTCTTGAATCCAGGGCAGTCTCACAATGGCGTATGTTGGCTCGGTCACACGAGCTGTGAAAGACTATTTAATTAATCATGCAGATTTGTATATGGTATACCAATGATTTCCAGCCGCTTTTCCATGACTTCGAGGACAAGTTATACATTCTTTCCCAAAAACAGTTTAATTTTATCATAACGTTATTCTTGTGGTGAATAAAATCTATTCCATGATATTGACATAAATAGGTATTATTTACCTTAGGGTCATTAGACAGTAGAGATAGCAAACGTGTGACAGTCGTAGCGCAGCTGAATATTTTTCATCAGCCACTTACTTCTAGTTTTGTGGAGGAAGGTTATTTACTGCCTACTGGACCAAGGAATCATTACTACCAGCACGTTTCTTGAAGAAGTATCATGTATCCAACTGGTAAATGTTATTAACAAACCTGGAATACTAAGGAAAGCATATCAGATACCAAAATCTTTAGAAGCGACATCTTCTGGATGGACCGTGGCTTTAAACTCGTTAAAAACGTATACCTTATGCCAGACAATGAAGATTTTTTTCGACGGTCAGCATATACAATTATTGCGGCCAATCATTTCAGACATTATCTCGCGCTTTTAATCTCGAATATCATGAGGTTTCGCTTATTTTAAACACTCGAAGACAGGTTCAATTAGATCTTAAAGATAGCTTCAGAAAAACATGAGACGTATCCAAACGCCGTCGTTAATGCAATCGTTTTATAGTCGGCCTACTAGAAAACCCTACTTCTATAAATCAAACATTAATATTTTAATACACCAGCTTTGGAGGCTGTAAGAGACGTAGACAATAAGAAAATTTAAACCAATAAAACATTTAAGCATGTTTATTTACTGGTAAATTCAGGCTCGTCAGAATATCACATAATTTAGCGAGTGATCATAAACAATTTTCATGTGATATGCCAGCATCTCGAAAGGAATTAGTATATAGTATACAAGAACCTTAGACCTGTCAGCATTCTGTGAACGATATCAGCAATGTGTCATCCTTTTAAGCACGATTTTGACAAACTTCACCCCCAGTTTCAAAAACACCTTATGTCGACTACGGTATTTTGACGCAATTGAATTCCGTAATAGGACTCAAAGGAGAATGTGAAATGGTTTTCTAAAAGCGTTTATAATAGGTAACCATAACTTTTCCCCTATTTATTTTGAAATATAACACCCATTTTGTATGCGAAATAATCTCAGATGAATTTAAAATAAAACCCTGCATACAGATATGACTGTATGTGAAACTGTTGAACTGTCAAGTAAGATGCCATAGCAACCATGATTGAGTGGTAAGAAGAACATCTTATAGATCTGGTCCAGGACATATGGATTGATCCTCCAAAATAAGACATTCAATCGTAATACCCGAACATTCCAAAAATAACCTTAAAAAGTAGAATTTTTTTCGAATATGGACTATTTATAGAAATCACAGATTTAAAAGACAATGATTAATGCATGAAATAAGGGAGAATTTCGACGCCCAAACGTGGGTTTTTTTGTTTTTCTTCCGACAAGCATTGACTTGAGGTCATGATCTTGACATTGGACATAATAAAGGCTTCTAACTATAAATTTCGAACGGTCATGACAGTCCATGTTAACAACGTTAAAGTCTTGGGAAAACTCAGATTCATTGTGGTGTACAAATTTGAAGGGGTATAGTTCTAAATGAAATAATACAAAGGAATTCAAACTCAACGAAAGCCTTTCCGTCTCTTTCGGGTCGCATGAGTCTTTAAAGGTGCTAATTGTATAAACAAGATTAGATTAAGGTAATTTTGAATTAACCTAACATTATTTGGGTGTGATTAAGTTTTATGAGCAAGACGTTACTTAAATGAGAATATTTACTTTCGCGGAACATCTATTTTTTAAAGTCCCATTCGGTTACAAAGTTCAAAATGACTACATAACTTGAGAGCTTTACAGATTTAATTATCCTACTAAACACCAATATATATTTTCCAGAATAACCCCTTACAAACTCAAAAATATAACCAAAACATTTCTACACACACTTTGGAGTTACTAACATATTTTTTAAAAAAAAAGATTTTATTTTCTTCTCCACGAAGAAGATCGTCCGTCTGCCTTTTCTTTTTCTTTTTTGTCTTCTTCTTCTTCTACAGAATATAAATAATGAATAAGTAAAACTTTATCAAAGGACATCTACAATTAAAAACATACCTTCTTTTTCGGCCCTATCGAAGAGAGCCTTCAATGCTAGTCTCTCCCGAGCCTTTTCGTAATGCGCTACCCGTGGTTTAGCGATTGGGCGTACGGGAGAGACAGTAATTGAAGATCCCTCCACGACAGGGACAGAAGAGACAGAAGAGACAGAAGAGAGAGAAGAGACAGAAGAGACAGAAGGGACAGAAGGGACGGCCGAGACAGAAGCAGGACAAGACACAGAAGAGCCCAAGCCAACGGTACACGCCGGAAGGACCGACAAAGGAGTCACAACAGACGGCACAGCAATAGACGAAGAAACGTCACCAGAACGAGGAACGAAACAAGAACGAACGGTTGTGGCAGGAGGAGGAGCGTCATTCTTTCGCTTATCCCCACGCTGTCTTTTCTCGCAAGGAGAAGGCGAAAAAGGAGGAGAAGCAAGGGGGGTAACCACGGCTGTAGCTGCAACAGCATCAGCTAAAACAGCCGACGAAACAGCAACACGACGACCGGACCCAAGACGACGAGGAGTAACCACAGGTCGAGGCAAAGCAACAGCAGGAGCCTCAACCACGTCAGAAGCTACACCAGCAGAGCCAGTTCCAACAACCGAACCAATCTCAGCACCAGCCAAGAACACAGCAGCAGACAGCAACTTATCCCCAGGAGGAGACACAGACACACGGCAAAGTTCTTCAGCGGCTGGAGAAGAAGCAGCAGAAAGTCCAGAGGCAAGAGGAGCAGAAGCCACAGCCACACCCAAGTCACCAGATTCCCCAGAAACAGGGACAGAAACATCATCAACCTCCATTGGTGAAGCAACCGCAGGCAAACTATCACTGAATACCGCAAAGTCACCAGGAGGAAAAGCTTGACCAAAGGCCAAGGACGAGCCGACGGAAGACGAACAGTCTCGACCAAAACCGAGAGAACCAACGTCAGTCTCAAGATAGCCTTGAGTAATGGCTTCGCAGCCAAAACCGAAGGAGACAGACGACGAGTACCTTTGGAGGGGAGGACGGAAGGAAGGCATCCTACCACCAGAAAGACAAGGCAAACCAGCAACACAGGCACAATCCAAGGAGTAGCATGTCATGTTCAATTTTATGGACGTGACAGAGGCAGCAACAGAAGAAGACAGAACAGCAGAAGAAGTCAGACTAGCAGACGAAGAGGGTCCAACAAAAGAAAAGCTAGCCTCAAGCGAAGAGGAGCCCACAGAAGAAGACCGAGCCGCAGAAGAAGATGGAGCCGCAGAAGAAGATGGAGCCGCAGAAGAAGATGGAGCCGCAGAAGAAGAAGGAGCCGCAGAGGAAGAAGGAGCCGCAGAAGAACAACAAGCCAAATAAGACGAGGACGTCAAGGAAGAAGAAGGAGAAGAGGGTAACCCCAAAGGCTCCAGGTGGCTGTTTTGGACGGTGGCCAAGGGTGTTATTCTACCACCACGAAGGACAAAGAGCTCACCAATCACAACCGTTGGTTTTCGACGGCATCGTCGACGAAAACACGAAGACGCAGCAACACAACCAAAGAAAGAGGCTATTTTTCCCCAAAGAAAAAGTAAACCAAAGCTGGCCGTGTACCAGACGAAAGAGAAAAACAAGCGAACGCGGTGTGTAATTTCACACTTTAACCTATACATTAACAACATTAGCGTTGCGAATAACATAAAAATCTTCCTTTTCTGTTAGATACTTACGGGTCGATAAAAGCGTTTTGGAGCATTTTCTTAGACTTGTTTAAAGAAAAAGAAGAAAAAAAACCAAAAAAAAGAGAGGACCGCGTTATAAAAAAAAACGAGATCGCTGCGCAGGGTATATTGATGACGTGATTTTTTTGAACAAAAAAATGTAACTCAGTTCGGAAGATACATACAATTAGTTATCGATTCAAGTAACGTTGCTTTTTTTTTTTTTTTTGGTAGATCTCTATGAATTGAATGGCGTTATCGTCCTTTTTTCAAGTTGACGAATGCCCTAGTAGTAATTGCGTAATGAGCTAGTGAGAAAATATAAATTAAACAAGTTTTGTGGTGATTGCAAACACCTTATAAGGCTTTATATAGTGAGTATATCAAAATAATAAACAAAGCATGCCTCATAGACGAAGACACCTTTTAACTTAGAATTACATGACATTACGAATGTGTAACAGAAATTAATTAGACTTAATCGTATGATTGTGGTTGATGACAGGAAAATTATTATTTCGAACGTCCTTACTGTAGTTTAAGTTAAAAATTGATAAAGGGCAAGCATAAAAAAAAGGCTGTGGGTATACGAAGAAACAAAAACCGAATGAACGGCCTTAAGTCTGTTATTACCTTTCAAAAGGCCAGTGTTTTATCAAAGAAGGAATTAAAATTGTCAAGAACAAAGAGGATTGAGGCAGGCAGGAGAGGTTATTATTAAATTTTTAAAAGAAGATTCTTTAATTAAGAAATAATAAGGTAAAGAAAATAGAAGATGGTTGTTGTGGTGATCTGCTATATTGTTGCTACATTCTATAAATCCATATCTATGACATCAATACATTAAGAATGATTAACAAATCAATTACCCAATATAGATAGTTAGTACTATGATATCACAAGGTTACAAGAACACAGTGACTAAGACTTACTAAAGATATGGAAGTACAATTTGTCTAAGATGACAGTAATTCCAAGTGTAACATATTTACAAAAATAAGCAGTTAAAGGTAACAGGATACAAACTGGGGAAATGATAACAACTTCAAAGATACACTTAAGATAGTGGTACAGCAGATAGTCTTTTTTATATAAATACTTGTTCATTTTATTTCATAATAAAGACAATCTTATCAACAGTCTCAAATTACTTATATACTGCCTTATAATTTTACTTACCTATAAACACAACAGTTGTGAAAACTGATAAAATTGAAATTTATCAGCCATAGTTGTAGAGAAATAAAACAAGAAATTAAATAAAACAATAAGCATTGACAAAAGTTAGTCATAGCTTATGTGGATCAGGACAAAGGATTTAAAGAGCTGACGGATCAATGATAAATATTGAGTTTGAAAGCTGGTTATTATAAAGCATATTTGGGGTATAAGATGTAACAAGATCATGATAACATTATCCTTGATCATAAGAAGCCCTTCAAATTGGGGGTACTTATCCACTTTATTCATAGTTGGTTTGATGGAATTGTTGTAATGATCCGCAGTATTTCCTCCAGTGGTATTTATTTAAAAATGTTTGCCTTTAATTTCTGCATCCACAACTTTGAATCTGTTTCCAGTCTTAGGCACCTAAATTCCATGTTTATGACTCCGCAGGTCGACATTGCGCCTATAACAGTATGGCTTGTAGCTCGTTCTGACGGGTTAAATACAATAGCTGGTGTTCCCAAGCTAATATGAATTTAAGTTGATTTATATTTTTATCAAAACCTCTCTCATTAATAAAATTATTTTTTTTGGTGCATTACATGTATTTTTTGCTCACGTTTCTACCCTTTACTTCATGAACCACGTGGTTAATACCTTAATGAGTACACGCATACTTCTCTCACCTCATTGATCTGCATAAATATGAAGATCATATTTGACAGCTCATGTAACCAAACCATCACCCCCCACGGGACCAATCACGAGTCACTTCGATGGGACCACGCCTCAAGACCAAATCAATATACGCCATCTCCCTCATCCCATGAATCCGCCACAATACCTTCCACAAGGACTTAACTCAAGATTTTTCACTTTAAAAAAATAGACCTAAGACTATCTTACTTATATTATCAATACCTTAGAATATTTAGAAAACTTCAGACCTTTATTTGATATCTTGTATACCTTTATTATTATTATTATTATTATATAACCCTTTAGCTTTATTACTTTTTCTTGTCTGTCTTCGCGCAACCATATAGTTCTACCCTGTGTATAGCCTTGGCTTGTAGATAGACAGAGACCTGTCATTGTATCTAGTAATATTCGGTTAATTTCTGACATTTTCAGGTCTCTCTTTGATCAATGTTCTCAAAGTTTTGATTCCTTCCAACCGGACTAATAGTTATGTTTTGTTACTCTTATTGCATTCAGTTAAAATTAATTTCCGAAACACTAATTTAATAATGTGAAGTCTTCAAAACTTTGGTCCTTACCTGGAGTGCATCAATTAATCGGGCATGCGGGTTGTAACAAAAAGACTGAATTAAATGAGCGTTACCGTCTACCTAAGGCTGACTGGCCTTTCTGAAAGTCCTGTAGTCTTCTTAAAAATGTCAAAATCGCGATCAAATTTAGTTTCTTAGACAATCCTTACCAATGCAAACATTTTTAGCCGCTTTTCTAGTTGATACTACAGCGCTTAGGAACGCCTGTTTCAAGTACTACAGAAAAAAAGCTTTCGGTCACTTTGACTAATTCGTGGACCTAGTTTTAGATGTATTGCTTGCATCGATAGTTTTTCCAGCTTTGCCATTTTTTTATGAATTCAGGATCTGTCATATTGACATCTTTTCGCTGCTTTTCAGAATACCGTAATGATAATTCTTTAATGAATAGCAGTGCTTCATCACCGTAGATCAATAAATTCTGCTGGTGGTGAGACACAAGGTCAAATACACTGCTATCTCGTTAAAAACTACGCTTTTGAGCAGGATGTTTTATATCGTTTACAACTATGACAGGTGTATAGGTGGGCTGTGTTACTTTTTTTTTCGTTTTCGTAGTTAAAGTAGAGACTGTTTGTATTTGATGTTACCTTCGTTTTAACTTTCTTGAAACGGTTATTCTGGTTGATCTGTCAAAACGAAGTGATAATCCATGAAAAGAAATCCGAAGCTAAAAGAAGCAAAATTTAAAGTTAGATCTCGTTATCGGTATGTATTTTGGGTGTCAATATGTCATATGGCGTAGAGAACTTTTATTATAATTAAATTATTTTTAACAATTGATCTAATGGCATTGCTTGTGACAGAGAAAAATTTAAAAAGAGGAAAGGAATGAAAAATAAAAATAAATTTAAATAAAAAATTGTATGCCGATGGTTGCGTGTTTTATCTACCATGTTGCGTCTTTCCGCAACATGTCGTGGAATTACGCAACATCTTGCGGATTTCCGCTACCGAGTCCGCGGCTGTGTCACTCCATGATAATTCACTATTAGGCTTTAGTAAATACATTTATTACACCATAGTAATGTATGTTTATACAGTAAAAAATACAAATGTCATAACGCATACATTCACATACTTTACGAAATCAAGGATACACGGTATGAATAATAATATAAAAAAAAAACTTGGATTGTTATTTTTAAAAAACCAAATCGATGATTGAAAAATCTTAAAAACTTACCTGGGGTTGTCTGAGGATTCAAAAATCTAAAAATAAAACGAAAAGGTAATCACCTATGAGGTTGCTCTTTTTATGAATATTTTTGGTCATAGTTGGAAAAAATTCCTGCATATTTTTACTGTCCTTGCTGTTATTAATTAACATCAATTATTATTTAAATGCTCATCTTCATAACAGGTATAACTATTGGACAAATGACGGTTCATCCTATGTCGTTGATACCATTACAGCAGCTAATTTATCGTACCAGACTTTCAAATAAAGTAGCATTTAAAATTTGAAATAATTAACACTCGTCAACTTAAGAATACATTATACGCTAGCCCTTCACTTCGTTTGATGCAATAAGATTGAAGTGAATCAAATATTGGCAGGTCTGATCATAAACCATCAATTATTACACTCCTCCTCAGTTGAATGTGTTCTCAAGTTTCAATCATGCTATATCATTTTTCCTACATACACAAAGCTTCCCATCTACACTAGCTATCCGTTTAATCTGTTTATCCTCTTTATTTTATATACTGTGCATCTATTTTATAAACAATCATTGTCGTTAAAACATTAATTTCAGAGCTTAAAAGTCGGATTTTTACACTGGTGTTTTCATATTTTTTGACAGAGAAATCTAATTTATTGTGGGAAGATGATTAACCTGGATAAATCCGATAGATTTTTATGAATTTTTTGCACTGTAAAACACCTCCCGGACATCTTTGGTTCTCTCAACTGTTAATGGCAAAATTTGTATTACCATCTGTAAAAATTATGTGCGAAACGAAAAAAATCGGGCTCTATTAGATCATGAAGAACTCTCTCATAAAGAATGTACTTGGGTTAGATTTGTGGCACATGCTAAATTCATCGAAGAGATAGCATTTTTTTTCTTTTTTTTTGGAAAGCGTAGCCAAAAATGGTTCATTATAATATAGATGCACTGTAGAACCGCTAAATTTCTAGAAATACAGAAAGTATGGCCACAAAATTAACTCTCGAACTGTAGCGATCGTCAAAGGCTTTTCATCTAAAGGTTTAACGAAAAATATATTCCTGTAGTCGTGTAAAGAGTCTGGTACAATGTCTGTTATCGTACCATTTTTAAAACTACAGCTTCCTAAAAAGACAAAAAGCATTTTCGTCTTCCAACCATTTTTAAAATGCTGTTAAAATGACTGTTCTAATGAGCTTCATTATAGAGTTTAATGTACTTGCTTCTTCAAAGACAATGCCAAGGTGAAACAACTTTTTGGTTGTTAGTCTTGCATCCTTCAAATCTGTGTGCTTTTGATTGTTGACACCGGTAAGGTATTTTATGAGGATGAACTAAAAATAGTCATGCAAAAAAAAAAACAAAAAACAAAAAAAGCGTAAATAAAGCCAGGAAAAAAGTAATCTTATCGGGGGTTTGGTGTGTCAAGCCAAACAAAAAGCCTTTGTTTAAGTGGTCATAGTCTTGAAAATATTAATGCATATCGAATACCAATGTTTTTGGATTAAACATACCTAGATCTTTCAAGAAAATCCTCTTCTGTTGATCCTACTTCCATGAAGAGAGCTTCAGAATTAATGTTTTTACATGCTTTTGATCGTTGAGCGTGTTACTCTTTGTCTGGGTTATAATTTGATTTTGATTTCGTTGTACCTGTAAATGGAAATGATAAGATGTTAGTTAATGTTACTTTTCGATACCTTCCATACCCACCGTATATATATGAAAAGTCCCATCCTGATAGTACTACTATAATCCCGATAGTTTTAAAACTGACGATTTTGCATGCCTGCTACTCTGGAGCCATAATTCGAAGTTCCAAAAAATGTTAATCATGTAAAAAAAAATAAGAGAAAAAGCTATTAAAAGGGCTGGATATATTGGTCTTCAAGATTTCAAAAGGAAGCGATGAAAGTATTGCCCAAAATCTATGTTTTATATAAAATATTAGTGTATTATCTCCAGGGATGATAATCAATTTTAAAAGCAAAAATTTGGCGTGACCTTCCATTTTTAAAGAATGATTTTTTTTTGTTTGTTGTCTTTTTTTATAGCTCTTCTTCGTCATTTCCTTTTTTTTTTTTTTTTTTTTTTTTTTTTTTTTTTTTTTTTGTCTATTGTTCAGAATATTGTCAATTCCTCGGTTCAATGTGTCGAACGACAATACTAGCAAACATACTCACGCATATACAAGCCATGTACACTTCTAATGATCTTTCACCCCTTCATCCGAATGAGTAAGATTCCATACCAGCTATTTTGAAGATAAGTCGTCTAGTTCTTTGGAAAAAGCATTCGGTAAGACTTTTATATTTGCACCTAATCAAGTCTAATTCAATTAATTGTAATCTAAATTTCTATTTTCCCCTCGCGTCTTCTTTTTAGCCATGACCCACAGAATCTCGTGCATTTCACATGATTCTGTCTTCACTTTACATTACCCCAATTACCTTATAGGCAAAGAGGTTTTTATCGTTTTTCGACCCGCCTGAATTCGATTTGCTCTTTCCCATGTAGCCTCGAATAGGTATAATATTGCAACCTTTTCTGGTTTTCGATTATTTATTTGCTAACATTAACTGTTTAGGAAAGACTACACGATACATAAATTTCGAGACAATGATTCCATAATTGTAACCCAAACCAATCGTACCGGAATCCTAAAAAATATTTATTCGGTAACATATCTTTGGTGGGACTATGAGGATCATATTCCGACATGAACCAAATTAAAGATCCCAGGGCTAGCCGATATTTTAGTAACGCAGTTCGTAAGTTTGGATTTAAAAGTGGATGAATCGATACACATTTGGACCACGAGAAAGATTGATGATGTTTGGAGAACAGTTAGTGCTTTCAGACAGCAACTCCCACAACGAGTGAAACGATCATGGATTCACTTAAGATGTTTGAATGTGAAATAGTTAGGATCAGGACAACTATACTAATCCGTGGACACTTAAAATCAATGGATGAATGCTTAAAATCAATGGATGAATGCTTAAAATCAATGGATGAATGCTTAAAATCAATGGATGTATGCATGAAATCAATGGATGTATGCTTAAAGGCACTGGATGAATACTCAAGACCAATGCATGCATACTTTACATTAATGGGTACACACTAATTACAGTCATACAAACGGTTGCATGGTGATACAAACGAGCTTTTTATATTTTCCTTAATACAAAGCATGTGCAGCGGATTTGTTTCTCTTTTTTTGGTTTTAAATAAATCATTTTTTCATGATAATCTGTCCAGTATGCCTGATTTAAACGTGCTTTCAAGATGAATACCATAAATTGATTGAATTATTAGGACCCAATTGTTAATTTCAATGACCCATAATAAATATTAATTTCTATTCACAAGAAAATTGAATCAAAGCATTGGACATATGCATATACGGCATATAGCTCAGGTAATGGGTGACAAACCATATGCAACAAAATAGGACACAGGCGATACCAGACAAAAAATTATAGACGTGTGCCTTAAAATAAAGCAACGTAATGTGCATCATGGTTTACAAAACAAGACCTGATTTATGTTTATACCATATATTATCGCATTATCAGAAAAAAAGCATGTACTCTCCACATGGTACGACGTATCTCCAAGTATATAACGAATTATTTCCGTACCGGATAGGTTGGATAGATTCGATAGATTGGATAGGTTGGATTGGCTCAGCTCAAAACCTGCGATTGGATAGGCTGGATAGGCTCAGCAAAAGCCTGAGGTTGGTTGGATAGGCTGGATAGGCTGGATAGATTAGATTCGCTCAGTGCAAAGCCGGAGGTTGGATAGGCTGGATAGGTGGGAGCCTATCCAGCGAAAAGCCTGAGGTTCTTGGATAGGCTGGACAGGTTGGATAGGTTGGATAGACTGGATAGGCTGGATAGGTTGGATAGACTGGATAGGCTGGATAGGCACAAATCTATTCTGTACAAAGCCTGGGGTTGGTTAGATAGGTTGGATAGGCTGGATAGGCTGGATAGGTTGGATAGGTTGGATAGGTTGGATAGGTTGGATAGGCTGGATAGGCTGGATAGGTTGGATAGGCTGGATAGGCTGGATAGGTTGGATAGGCTGGATAGGTTGGATAGGCTGGACAGGTTTGATACGCTAGATGGGCAACAACCTATCCAGCGTAAAGCTTCAGATTGGATAGGCTGGATAGGCTGGATAAGCGCAGCGTAATGACTCAAGTTGGATGGGCTGGATAGGCTGGATAGGCGGGGTTGGCTGGATAGGCTCCAACCTATCCAGGGCAAAGCCAGAGGTTGATTAGATAGGACGGATAGGTTGGATAGGTTGGATAGGTTTGATAGGTTGGATAGGTTGGATAGGTTGGATAAATTGGATAGGTTGGATAAATTGGATAGGTTGGATAGGTTGGATTGGCTTAGCGTTGTCAAATTTTCCTGTATTTTAGCGTTTATTTCTTGTTCAGATAATATACGACCAGAATTAGATATATCTATTCAATTGCAGGCCTCTTCCGTCAGTTAGTTATGCCCCATGAGTATTTATCTACACAGGGTAAACGGTCTATAAATTTTGAGTAAAATATAACCTTATCTTAAAATATATACATCTATACTCTTTCCTCTAATCTGCGGTAGTCCCGCATCTGGCTACGAGTTTGGACGTACTGATTTAATTCAAAAAGAAGAACACCCTGAAACATAAAAATTATCTGACCCTTCTCATTTATGTTAGCCGGATAAGCATTTATCTATGAATATTAAACCACTCATCTGCATTAGAAAAACAAATTATACGGATTATCGTTTACAAAATGTTTCACGTTCCCCAAACCATAGTAGAACCATATCCGTCTGTGTAAAATTAAGAACTCATATAAAAAAACGTTTATCTGGCGTGGTTTAAAAACATTTGGCAGGTGAATTCATTAAGAGCAAAAGTTGGATACTTTTACTGCTTTTTTTTGGAGTCCTCATCAAAGCAAGTTGATAACAAACACGACAAATGGAGAACTAGAAACGGGGAATATGAATTTCGTCCCATTCGCAGAATCAGTAACCATTTTCAACCTTTCCCCAACGTCTGCAATTTTAATAACAACTTTTTTATGCCCTTATTTTTGTAGGATCCAGTAGTTGAAATTCATGCGTTATGCAGGACAGAAAATTGTTTCTTATTGACTTCAAGTGCTTTTTAGAAACTGGATATTGCATCAAACGCGTATTCCAATAACAATTACAGTCTACCCGCGTACAGGAAACCCACATGAGAAATTTCTGCCTTGTGTTATAATAACAATGATAATTTGACTTGAGAGGAAAGCTAAATCTTACCTTCTCGCTTGATGATGCTAGTCCAGCCAAATATGCTTAACAACAATTTTTCAATTGACTTTGGTAACCCTTGCATAGGATGGTAGCGGAATATAAGTGTGAATCATGGCATAGCGTGCCCCCAAGAACAATCGATGCCACAATTTTTTAGGTTTGATGGATAGTGTCTGGTAAAGCATAAAATTGATCTTTTTTCTATTTAAAAGCACTGAGAAACACATTTGTACTTAAACGATCTTCAGCAATAAAACAATTATTATCTACATTACCAATCAATACAAATTCGAAATAAATAGAAACCTATACTTGGCCGAAGTTCATATTATTAGCAGTCTTTTCCTCGAAGGTGATTTCAAATTTGGGGAGTTCGATCAAATCTCAACATTTTTGTATTTCGCGGCAAAGAAGATAGAGCCGTTCTTTTGATGATATTATATGATTTTTTACCATCATTGGCTCTTGATCTCAGTTTTATCTGTACTGATCGAAAACACTTGTAAGGGTATAATCTAGAAGTTTTATTAATTCAATTAACCTATAATTCTTTTCCTGTATCTGACAGAGACAAAACAAAAAATAGAACATTGTTAAGTAATATACGTGCTGTAGTTAGGTTGTATCATGTTGACTTTGTCAATACTATTTTGTAGACGATTTTCGCTTATCAGCTTTTCAATAAATTAGAGCCAATAATTCAAGGTCTTAAATAAAAAAACGATATATATTAGGCCCCATTGCCCACTAACTGCCTTTAAACTAGGATGCTGATTTTAGCTATCGAAATCCCTCTTTCCTCTTTTTGAAAGCAGTAAACGAGTAGTGAAATTATTCCAACGCAATGTTTGTTTCGTTCAATCAAAGCTTAGAATAATGGTTGTACTTTAGAGAAAACATAAAAAGACAGCTTTAGCAATATTAGTATAAAGATGCATGCCATGAATCGAGTGAACATCAATGGGCCTAAAAAAGACAAGATCACCAAAAAAAAACACGTCGCAGCGTAATGTGATGATTTTTAATTGCCTAATATGATAAAATAATCAATAAGAGGATAACAGACGAAAGTACTATTATACTTACATTGAATGTACTCTCCTCTCTTTTTTTCAAACTATACTTTGATATCAACAACGCCTTTACAATCTTTAAGCAACTGTCATGGGGCCTATCGCCAACTATTTGATTTTTGTTTTCTTACATCATCTCCATGCTTTTTTTTTCCAAACAAAATATGCAAAAATATGTTGCAGAATGACTAACAAATTTCATTAACTCGGTACGGTAGACACCATCAACGAAATCATGAATAGTTTATACTCTAGTAGTTGTAGTTTTCTGTTCATTTAGCCTGATCAAAAGAAGATGGGACCCTAATTTGATAATTTGTTGTTGATACGGCGAAATACTATTTAAGGTTTCCTTGACTTTTCTAAAAACACTAATTACTTGGAAAGTATGTTTTCGAGTAAATCAATACGATCACGTAACCATGTCTAAATTTATCTTGAGTGCATTCTACTTTTCGGTAACATTGTAGTTTAAATTACACAATGAATGTTCTTCATTTAAGTGCTGGAAATTTACTATTGAAGCCTTCAATGTCAATTTTCGAAGTAATGTCATAGTTATTTTATAAAACCCGTTCTTTACATAATTTGCATAGAGCTCAGAATCAAATACTTCCCTGTAGATTGTTTCTTGCAATGATTGTTTGTTTTATGTGTTATGATATTTTTTAAATTGGAATGCCGGTCTTTCCATTGTATGATTACAACCTAATTTATCGGACAATTTAAATGTAGTATTTCTAGAATTCAGCTTTTCTGATAACTCTAGAGCAATCAGCAATGGGGCAAATAGTCTGATCAAGGTGAGTTATTGCGTCAACAAAGTAGCATCTCTTGGTAGCACACGTTTTTATGCTTGTTGATAAATAACGTGCTCTATTTGTTTGTGATAAACAATTAGTGTACTGATGATAGATGATATCCAGCATTATGGGCGCATTCCAATTCTCCAATTTTATTATCATTCAGCATGCTATGGTGAAACAGTTTCGGCTGCTTATTACATTCACAACTATTTTTCTCTCCCCTTCTAAATATTGCAAAGGCTAATTTCGTATGCGTGCGTTGAAATAAACGGATTAGATAGAAAAATTGGACCACGCACTGTATAAAAAAGCTCGGTGTATTGTCGAATAGGAGAAAAGTTTTCGGAAAGGTCTTAAATGATAGGGCATGCAAATCCTCATTATCATACTGATTAAAAATATTATCAGTAGATATTAATTTCTGATATTACGGAACAGATAGTGGACCCAATTGATGTCTCTTTTCTGGTTTCACCATATCCATATTTATGATAGATATATGTAATAATGTGACCTATTTTTCTAATCCACCTCAGAAAATGCAATAGGAGAATAATGTCATACCCAAGATTAAAAGGCAACCCAAGTTTTATATACATCAAGAGTTAGGAAATAGGGCAAACATATGGTGCTGTTACTTCAGTTCCTCATTTAATAATTTTTTGGTATCCCTGGCGACACAGCTAATATAATGTTACAGTTCTTTGTTGTACATCGAAGTTTAATCTTGCGACTCTTTTTTTTTGCCCCAAATAGAGTTCGCTAAGTAAACGTATCAGCTACAAGATAGCACCGAGTTTGTCATATATATGCAATGTCATGAAAACCAGTTTTTAACGTTACATACCCTTATGAGAACAAATATGCTTTTATTATTTTTTTGATAAAAAGCATTAGAGAATGCTGATAATTTTACTAATTTTTTTTGTTTGTCTTACTGTAGTCTATGTTATAGAGCCCAGGGGATTTTCCCTTTCAAACCTACTAATTTCACTAATCACATAAGTAAACAAAGCTGCATGAAATCAGTATTAAAAAAAGTGAGGCGTAAACAAGATTTTTATGTTAATGAAAAAAAATATTTTTATTAAGAATATTAACAGTGTGCTTCTCTCAGTACCAATATAGGCCTAACAGGTCAGACCACGAGAAGGTGGAAGCACATCCTGACCCAAAAACGAAAACATAGAAGAAAAGAGTGGACGGGCGATACTTACGACGAGAAAGGAATTAGTGTGGTCAGTGGAGGGGTGATACTTACAACGATAATACAAATAGTGGCGGAGTTTTCAAGGGCTATACTTACCGGGGGAATAAAACGTTACCAGGCTCCTCCACAAACCCGTTCCGCGAACCTTAGAATTATCAACCTAGCTTGAATACCGACCAATCTTCACACCCATTAAGGAAGAACGGCGCGACGTAATTACCCAATGCTGTCTGCTTTTACCAGAAAAGAACTGACGCTGCAAGGTGCGAAACACGCAAGATATCAACGAACACCTCCCAGACCCAGCCTCCTAACACCAAGTGCAATCATCCAAATGCTAACATCCTTTCATACCTACCTACTGCCAAGTAAACTACTCCCCATGATACATCCACTTGCATGTTCAACCATACCGTACTTCAACAAGTAGCCTTGAAGATCCACAGCACATGTAAAAGAACACGTTTGCACATAATTTAAGAGAGTATTTATAGCATCAACCCATAAGCAAATGCCGGCGCTTTAACAAGAGAGATAAAATCGGAAGGAGCTGATCGAACACTCGGAAATGCTTGCGAATTACAACCTTTTCTATCAGATATTGCCTTCAGATTTGGTTTCAATTGTTCAAGATATCTTGCCCTCTTGTATTCTTCATGGTAACAACACAAAGTCTTGAAAGTCTTCCATCTTCGTTCCAGTCTTGTCCAAGCCCAACACCTTTTTTTTTTTTTTAATTTTTTTTTCTTTTTTAATTTTTTTTAATTTTTTTGTCTTTTTTTTTTTTTTTTTTTTTTTTGGTGCTTTTTTTTTTCCGTTGTTTTTTTTTTTTTTTTTTTAGATTTTTTGTAAATATGTACAGTGTGGGAGGGGTTTTGTATGTACAAATGGTTCCGGAAGACAGCACCAGGCCGCCAATATTTCACAAGTTTTCTCAGCACCAGGCCGAGAGAGAAAAAGTACAAATAAATAAAATATATACAGTATGGGGCGGAGGCACGGGGCCTCCAGGTATTTACAGTTTTGGCACCTAACCAGTAAATGACATATATACAGTATGAGGTAGGGGGCACCAGTCCCCCCAGGCTATTTACAGCGGATTTTGTATGTACAGAAGACTTGGGCACCAGGCTTGCAGAAATATTTACAAAGAAGGAGTATATACAAAGTTTGAATAGCACCAGGCCAAAAAGAAGCGGAAAGGAAACGAGAAGGGAGCGGAAGGAGCAAAGGAAGGGTGGCACCAGGCCTTTTTTTTGTTTTTTTTTGTTTTCTAGTTTTTTTGGTGGTGCTAGACTTGAACTCGACCGAAACTTGGATAGAAGACAGACAAGACCTTGTGTTGTTTCCAGAAGATTACAAGACGGTAAGATACCTTGACCAAGAGAAACCAGCACTTCAGGCAGTATCTAATAGAAAAGGAAAACACAAACAATCCTCATGTTAAACCAGCCCCAACCAATCTTACCTTTCAGGCTAAAGTTAGCCAGCATCTACTTATGAGAAGAGCTATAAACACTCTCACACGTACAATACGTGTTCCAGTACATGACCGCTTCACCACAAGACTACAAGTATCCATACAGTATGATCTCCTATACAAGTGAATATACCACAGGTTTCGTCTACAAGGAAGCAAGCAGGTAATCCCTAAAAGAAGATAAGATGTCAGCATATGGCTCTAATGCAAAAAAATACGTTTTATAAAGATGGTTTACCAAACATCAGCATTCTTCAGAAAGCACTCAATGCAGTCGACCAAGTCCGAGAAGTATCCATTGATACCGTACGTGCGCCCTCACACCGCCAATCCCATTCCGCAAGAGACAGTTTCACCAGATAAGAACGGTCACTTTAATCCTTCATTTCAGAACAAGCAAGACGATCAAGTACGCTCACAAAAGCCAACAACCCGCAGCCCACTTCCCGAGTGAGCGAATTTACCTAGGAACAATGTGGAAGAAAAAAAAAGGGGGGAAAAGAAAAAAAAGGGGTGGTGAATAAGGGAATGGGGAAGGGAAGGATTCGCAAAAAAAAGGAGTGTTAAGAAAGGGAGATGGACATGAAAAGGAATGGGAAAGGACACGTGAAGGAATGGTGATGGAATGTGGAAGTAATGGAAAAAGAATAAGAAAAGAATAGTGATAGTGGAAGTTAAAACAGGAAAAAAAGAAATAAACAAAGAAAAGAAGACAAGGGTGAAAAGACTGTTATTGCTTCGGAGATGTTAATAAATAATATCTGTTCTCACGACTAGTAATTTTTGTACTACCCAAGCACATACCACGATCAAATAATTGAATAATAACCTTGAAAAGAATTCCAAAGAAGCTAAGTTAGGATTAATTCGTGCAATCAAATTAGGTATGTAAGAGTTCATGTCTAATGATTTTATAATGCTTCGAGTATATTAAGTTTCGTGCTTTAACTTAAATCACAATTCCAAAAACCCGAGAATCCACTTAAGTTTTCTTTAAAATGTTTCTTTTCCATGGCAACCTTTTCATAAAAAATTGAAAAATCTCTTAAGCCAATTCTAAAAAAGTAAAGCACAACAGATCATTACATTGCCTAGGAATAGCAATATTACTTGTTCCTTTCATGCCGAAAAATTATTCTCTTTTTAATGAGATTCATTTCATTCCTGAGAAAAAGAAAATCCCAAAAACACCTTGTCATGTAGGATTATGAAAGCAAAATAGTTGACAGGGTCTATTAATTTGCAGTAAGATAACTGAGTAGAAAAACAATTACAGTTGCACGCGTTTCAAAAGCACTTTTTAATGTTAAGACTCTATAAGTCATTAGCACACTTTCAAATTGAGATGAACTATAAATTTTATTTGAATAGTGACCTACATTACCAAAAATTTACTTACCGTAAACCGAATATTTGCAAACGAAACGTTCAATGGTTGTTTGGGAGTATTTATCCATTCAAATCTGGGTAGATATGCCCGTGTACGAGTATCCATCTAATTTTGATCAATAAACAAGGTGCGTAAAAAAACTAACTTCATTTACTTAAAAGGGTAAACAACTAAGATGCCAATCATTTTGAGTTAATTCCTAGCACAAAACTATAAACGCTTTACTTTCATTCATTCACCTACAGCAATAGAGGATCTGTCTGTGCAGAAAGACCTACTCAATTGAGTAATAAAAATTCAGATCTAAAACCTATAATTCCCTGATTCATTGCATCTATCTGAGAAATATGAGGATCTATTTATGGGAAATACTTACCCACATTGTGGGAATAAAAATTGGAATCTGAACCCTTAAATATTCCTCCTTCATTCCATTTACCGGTAGTGGGTAGCCATCCGTCTATGATTGTACACTTACCTACTGGAGTAGTAATACCAGAGTTCCCTAAAATCTAAAAATAGCTTATCACATCTAATTTATCCTAACAAGATAAGCATTTCTCTATGACTATTAAATCACTCATTTGCGTTTACAAAACAAATAAACCGAGCTTCCAACACAAGTGTAGTTCATCACATGAATCAATGTGGTTATATACTTCTCTGTGGATGGTTAAGACATCATCTAAAAACAAAAGCTGGCGTGGTTTAAAATTTTGAAAGTGGCATTTATTAATTAGCAAAAGGTTAGAAATTTTTCTTGCTTTTTTTTTCAAGTCCTCATCATAGCTTATAGATGGTGAAATAACAAAACAAGAAATATATTCTCGGTATGTCACCTTCTTACATTCGCTAAATGTTTCGCCATTTTAAACAATCCCACAATTATGACGATGACGGCAATGTTAGTAACAACTTTTTTTTCTTCGTTACTTGCGTAGGGTACAACGGTTAGAATTCAAGAGCTACACGAAGCAGCCGTATAATTCTTTATGACTTGAAGTGCTGCGTAGAAACGTGTTATTTTATCGAATGCGTATTCAAAAAGTAAATTCAGTCTACCCATGTACCAGCTAGTCATTCCTAAATCTTGGCTCATCTTATTAAAACTTTGCTAGATTGGCTTTGGGGAGAACGCTAAAACCTATCTTATCGTTTGGTGGTATAAGTGGAACAGAACGTGTTTATTACCACATTTGGTAATGGACTTTGATAACCTTTATTTAAAGAAAATGGTGGAATATAAGCGTGAATTTTGTGAAAGCTTGTTCGTGCTGTGGAATATATTCCAATTTGATATGGATTTGATGAGTAGACTCCCGTAAAGTATCACATTGTTTTGGTATTATTCGAAGGCACTAACAAAACATTTGATAGTTAAGAGATCTTCAGCAATACGACAATCATCATCGGCACTTCTATGCAATATAAAGTTTGATTAAAAGATCCTAATAGCTGACCGAAATTCACATTACCAACAGGCTGCTCCACAAAATCGGATAAAAATACACCATCTTTGTATCTCGCATGAAAAAGAAGAAAAGTCGCTTGTTCCATAATGGTGTTGGTATTCTCACCACCATTGACTTTCGGTCTCATTTTTGTTATAAGCTTCTGTAAAAGTATGTACAGGTTCTATCAAAAATCCTTAAATATTGTGAATAAGTAATTTCTGTTGACAGAGACACAACAAAAAACAGAACATTGGTTTAAAGGAAATGTGATGTGGTTAAATCGGCGCTTGTGGAACTTGTAAATACAGTGGGATATAGGCTTTTCGCTTTTCAACATGTAATGTTTTATTTAGTAAAGGGTACGTAAATTGGCAAACATTATGCATAATTACATGACTGATCTTTTGAATGCAAATGTAGTCTCTATATACTGCTAAAGCAGCCCGAAGTATCTCAATATCTCAAGACCTCTTCTTCTCTACATCCTCCGAGTGTTAATAGTGATGCCTTCCTTTTTTCAGGATAAATGGCGTTTTTTGCGACAGGAAAATGCGTGTCTTTATGTACGTTAGCAGCAACATTATCGTACAGTGTAACCTCCTCCTAAAGGTAATCACCAAAAAGGATGTTTGCAGTGGATAAAGAGCTATACTCTAACAACTCCCCAGCAAAATCTTGTTGGATATGTAATCCTTACAGTTTTTACGGATCAATACCTGAAAATTGCAGTTATGTTTGATAGGTTTATAAATATTTAGGTCAAAAACGTACAGACAGTCCGGAATCAACTGAAGCTCTCAGTTCAGTAGCAGCGGGAAAACAGTAGTAGCACCAGCAGTATTTCTTTCAAGTCTTGCCAATCGTTGATGTACAAAAAGTGTCGCTCTACCTGCAGTAACATTATTGAGTGCTGGCTCAAACGAAGTAACAATTTCTGGTGTAGGAGCAGATGTTGGTTCAGCGGTGAGAATTTCAAGAATACCAGTGAGTCTCATTTGGGAATAAATGAATGTGGTGGGTTATTGAAATGAACATTTAATTAATTTTGTGTATTTGACAGACACGGAATCGGCATAGTAAATATTGTTGTTAGAATTAACTTATCGGGAAGGTTTTTTAGCCAAGAAAAATTTTCAGCGGGAAGAAATTTGAGGATCATTCTTTCTTCCGAGGGTGAAGAGATACTCACCAGTTTTTCTTTATAAACACGATCTAAAATTGGTAAGTTAGTAATTTTTTGAAGTTTTACTCATTTGACTCACAAAACCGCTATAGTTTAAATGTTGGACATAGGAAGATTTTAAACACGTGTAGAAGCTCACATGGTGACGGTAAAAAAGAAATTAGCGAGTATGCAAGAGTTTTATCACTTACTTTTGTTAATATCAAAATATTGCTATCTTTCGTTCTCTGTTTTAGTAACCAGTACATAATGAATGTCAAGTGCCTAACCCAGGAAATACTCCCAGAAATTATTTCATACCTACCACCATATTGTAGGTGTGTAACACGCTATTTATCCAAACCTGCGGGTAAAACGGTTGAAACCTTGATGTATATTATATTTATATTAAATTGTGATTAGTAGTGTAATAGCAAAGTTACCGTTTTATAAGAAAAAATAGGGCCCTTCTTAAAATCTGTGATTTGATGGCCAACATGACAGGCGATACCAAGGAATCAAACTGGCCTTGTTTTTTATTAGCTTTGCTTTTTAAATGGCGACATTAGTTCATGGTTCTGTTCGAAGCACCGCATGTACATTACGGCTAATTTCTGGAAAACCGCTTTATGCGGCCTGGAATAAGCACATAACTGGTGGTGACTCTTATTCGCCGAAAAAAAAATTTCTTCCTTTTTTTATATTCATTTCGGTTTAATCTAGGCGACATCAACTCATGGTTTGGCGGGACTCACTCTTCAATCATAACCGTTTATTTCTTGAAGTCTGCGCGCTGTTAACTGGATCATATACTGCACTGCCCGCGGGTCCTATGCGCTCAATAAAAATGTATCTCTGTTTTTATTCATTACAACTTCTTAATGACGGTATCAAGCGAAGTCTCTGCAGGAATTGTTCTATGAATAACGACGTCGGTATAGAATCTTGCTTGATCCTGACTGGAGTGTCTGATACCGTTGCTGTGTTTGTTGTGTTCTTAAGAAAAAAAACCAATTTTTTTCTTTGGTCCCACTTCTTAATGACGACATCAGGTCAAGGCTATGCTAGAATCACTCTCTAAGAAAAACGGTTTATGTTTCGTAGCCTGCCTGTTACGGACTGACGTATGTGCTGGACAGCTTTTATCTCTTATGTGCAGAAGAAAAAAAACTTTTTTTATTCGCCTTACTCTCTTAATGGCGACATCAAGTCATGGCTCATTCGGAATCGCTCTTTATGAATAATCTCATATGTCTGGAATAATGTCTATTGATGATTGAAGTTTGTACTGCACTGCTGTCGTTATGTACGCACTCAAGAAAAAAAAATTATTTTTTTATTCGTTCCGCTTTCGTAATAGTGACATCATGCCAAGGCAATGCTGGAATCGCTCTATATGAATAATGGATTATGTGTCGAAGCTTGTTTCTTCCTGAATGGAGTTTGTTCTGCGCCAGTGTCTATCATGCACTCAAGAAAAAAAAATTTACTTTTTCGTTGTACATTCGCTTTTGCTCTTGGCGATATTATGTTAACGATCTGCTGGTATTATTCTTCATGATATGCTAACATGATGTTTCTAAATTCTAATGGTCCGGGTATGTTGATATTAATTAGGTAATGAAGCTGTTTTGTAATAGGTACCATGGAATTGGATGATGAAAAGCTGGTGCCGTTGTTTGGGAAGTAAACAAGGTATATTTTTCTAAAAGCAGAACAGGCAATGATCCGTATCGTAGTTTATAGCCTTTTGCTGATTTCACATATACAAATTTAGTATGATTGCATCTTGCTTCAGAAGATCTTTTACGAAGATAAATACACGGCATTTCCTGGTACCTATATAAAGCACTTACTTTCAAGAACATCTTTAAGAAAAAACAAGATGTACCAACTAATTTAGCTTTTTTAAATTATATACTTATGCCTTGTATTTTTTTACTTTAGGGATACTGGGTGGTAGGGTGATGTACTGAAGAAGAATAAAATTCGCAACTGTATGCTGGAAACAAACTTGAAAACTTATATAGTAAGAAAGAGAAGGGGTAATGGTTAACTCCCCGTATGATCTAATTTCCTGTTCATGTCTCGAATCTAATTAGTGTAGGATCTCTACTGTGTGTCACAAGGCCTGCTACAACTATATAAGAATACCAGACTACGTTTGTATTCCAGCTGCGTCAAAGATAATAGCGGAAGCATGTTTAAGAATAGGGGATCTTGTTTTTGAGAGTGTTCTGTAGGAAGGTTTGGTTCCCGGGATTCCAGCTGCAACCAAGAAAAGGTAATGGTGATTGCTGTTGGTATTTAGATGTTTGTTGATTTGATTTATTACTTTATTAGGCTTTTAGACTTGATGTTTTTTGAGATTATGATTGAGGACGAATGTTATTATTGTACAAGGTCTCGGTGTATGGACTCGGCTGTGAGGTTTGAGGACTTATTGAATTGTAGTGACGTACGCTGGCGCTTTATACTTTTCTGAGTATACTGGTTAGTTCTGTACTTGATGCTTTGGACTGCCCTGACGTGTCCATTGAAAAAGTGAAGCCTTGTGGATCTTTATTTTTACAAGTCTCCGAAGAAGGGTAAATCTACTGGTATAGAACAAGGAAATTATTCACTAAACTTATAGTCATTATATAAGCTTTATAAGATTCTACGTCAAGTAACATAATTATTGGATGCGATACTTCAATTATACTGAGGTTTCCATAGCAAGATCCTAAAAGGTACAGCATTAATGCAAGTATATCAATGATAATTTTCAAGTTTAACTAGTTTTTTAGGAGTCCTATACATGCCGAGCTATATCTAACAGAAAAACATATCAATTATGCTGGTAAGACAGTTGAGTACTCTTACTCGGGAGATTCACGGGCTGTTTTATGCAAGTTGCAATCGTTAATATATGTGGTTTGAAGTTCTGCGCTCATGGTTTTAGATGGCGTCTATTATTGAACTCCAAGGTAAACCCAGAAATGTATAATATTACCGATATAGGATTAAAACGATATTCTGAATTGATATTGAAGTACATTAAACATCATTATCACGGCCAAAATACAAAAAGTCATGATAAGTATCCTTATTGAACAGCAAGTATTTTGCAAGCAGATATTTAATTTAAATGTACAGCTTCGATAGAGTTAGTATTGAAAATTGGATGAATTTTTATTAAATAAAAACGTTATATATATATTACCTTTATTATTAAATAACTATCAAATATGAAAAGTGCTAATAACGTGCCTTTGAGAGAGATCAAAAATAACAATTTCTGCAAAAATTATACAAAGCTTTGATGCTTAAAATGATGGAATACCAGCGAATAAGCTCTCATGATGAAGAACGCAATTCCTATATATTGACTATTTTTTAGGACCTTCATTGACCAGTATATGGTAAACACGCGTAATGAACTTCATATCAATGTATTATTTTTGACTATATATGTAGGATAAGTTTCAACTATATACTGAAATAAAGATTCATTTCGTGATTAATCAGTTTTAGATTGCCAATATGTCGTTCTTAATTGGTAGAACATGTTTGCATTAAAGGTTTTTTTTCCAGTTCAATTCTGTAATGAGGGTTCCACTTCAACAAAATCCCTCACCGCCTTCGTGATAAAACCCCCCGCACCGTCCTAAGCAATTTAATCCCTCACATTTTTGTGACTGGAATTTTTATAAGCCAGTGACCGTATTCTACCTGTTTTAATAGCGTCGGACCTCATCCGTTTTTCCAAAAATAAGATGAGGTCCGACGGTAACAATACGGGATATGTGATAAAAAAAACTGAGCTCCGACGCTAATATAACGTGATATCTCAAAAAATGGATGAGATCCGACCCTAATCATAACACTTTTCCAAGGCAAATTTCAACTCCTACAAACACCCCACAATCTCTAACTTTAAATTTGGGTATTTAAGCAGATAATTTTCCCTTGCTTTAATTTCAGTTTTTCTTGAATTTGTCGAATTATAAAATAAAGAGATTTATGAAAAATAAACAAAGAATATGGCTACATCTATATCTGGAATCACATCTCTGTGAAAACACAACCGAGTATGATTTCGTTACAATACACGCCCAGCTGGCATTGTACACATGCAAATGTAAAATTAATCAAATGACTCTGTTTCTTCGTCTCAATTCTTCCCACTTTTCTGTTTTCTCTTAATTTCAATTCTGTTACTTTCCTTTTCTATTTTTACTTTTGTAGCAAAAGTAGGCTTACAATTTGGCGGAAATAATGGCAACTATTTGCCATTTACTTCACGAAACTTCCATTTTTTGACCTGCAAAAGTGGCAGATATGATATTCTATAATAAAAAAAGTGACACAGCAGGAATATTTTTGGCTGGCAAAAATAGCACCTTTAAAAGTTGAATGAAGCCAAGAGGTTCACAGCTGCAGTTTTTGGTTTTAAAAAATGGCATCTTTTTTAGTTTTTTGAAGACAAATTAGTGACACCTTCCATTTTCCTGGCTTGTAAAAGTGGCAGTTATGATTTTGTATTATAAGAAACCGTTCGCAGTAGCCATTTTTTTTAAACGGACAAACCCTTAACTATTTTTTAGACCCATTATTTTATATTTGGCAGGCTCACAATTTCTTATTCATTGTTATTATTGGCAGTAAAGCACGTTTTATTGGATTGTTAATTTATATTTCAGTAGCCTATAGGAGGGTTTGATATAACTTTAAACTTCTTATTTAGGTTTATGATTGTATACATGGCAATAAGATATTCCTTTATGATGCTTTGATATTACTTTAGCTTACCTTTGACTATCTTAACACTCTATAAAGGTATTGTTAGAAAATAATAATATTGTAATTAATTCTGCATTTTATCATCAGCCGTAAGAACCGATATCAATAACTATTTGACCGGCAGTGTTCCTAAAAATGTCGTCGTTTGAGTGAAAGGTACACGGAATAAATAGTCTATATATAAGCAGTATGATATCAATGAGAATAAAACATAACTTTTTTAATGCTATATACCCTTAAAGATAGAACGGTCTATTGATGGGGACCATTATCATTGGAAAATGGTTATATTATACAGACGTATTTTAGTTTGATCAAAATAACAAAAATAGGCTAAATGTTCATCTAAAAAAAAACTCTTTAGTTTAGCATACAGAATACATGTTACTGCAAACATACCCGATTCCAATATATTTGTTCACAATTTTCGTTATTTTGGGACATATACCCTTATCATCATTATTTGAAGGGTATTTATTTTAAAAGATAAATAAAAGTAAAGAAACAGAGAAAACATTGTAAGCTAAAAGAACGCTAAAATACACACTATTAAAGAAGCTAAAAACCAGAATAGACAAATCGTGTCGACCAGACACGACTATTATATTCTTCTGGATTTTTTACTTGAAGGTTTACTCGCTACCTCTACTTGAGGAGAACTGTATAAAAAATATTTATGGCATATGACTAAACATATATCATGCATGAAAAATAATAAATATAACTTACAGCACGTCTGCTATGATAGGGGACTGATCGCGACCCGTGCCTTCGAAAGCCTCATTGAAAGAGTCTGATCTATTGGGATCTTGTAGATTCTACATTATTGTATCTTGTTAACGATATGGATGGAATAAACCGCTAAAGAATTGTGTATTGTTACCCTTCTTCTGAGTGTTTGGTTGTAACCATTAAGTCTCTCCTATGAAAAGCTTTTGGCAAACCAAATTCTCTTACACTGGTGCCTTTTGAATCCTTTGTCCTTCGCAAGCTTTTCCAGGCTCAGCATGTCAAAATACCTATCATTTGCGGGGATATCGTTCCGGTTTTTCAACACGTCAGGGTGGTCCAGGTCAAACAAGTTATGCTTCAGCAAACGTGCCAGTTAATTTAACTGAGCTCGTATGATTTCCAAATCACGTTCTGAAATTTGGCATAGAGGTGGCTTTTGCTACTCATTGGGAATATCCTTGCGTAATAACTGCTAGTCGTTTGTGTGTAAAGTTTCAGTGTTACATTAAGTCTATTGGAGACCTTCTTTCCTTCAAGTTCTTCAAAATTTGTGGCAATCGTTCGTTGACCAAGCTGATCAGGATATTCAATTATTTGGCATCTTTTTACCGACTCGGTGATTCGATCAAGAGCTAAAAAAATAATACAAAATAACCGATTCAATCACGATTATCAGAATCAGGGAAGGATAGGCAGTACCACTTTGTTGGACGATGCTTTCTGTATCATAGTTACATCTTCATCGGTGACGTTGGGTGCAAATTTATTTTTGAACTGATTAGACAGCGCATCTAGCCTTTGTTTGTTCTCAGTAACGTCAAGTTCGATTCTACGAACATAATTGGTGAGTACAATACTACTATCCGACATTTGAAAAAAAAAAATTTTAAATAAATTATTTTACAGAATATAAAGGTAAAAAGTTAAAAGTAGATATGCCAGTACATATAATATATTTTATCCCACTTTTAGTTAGTTGGAGCTGGACTGTCTGCTTATGTAAATTATGTCATTTTGGTTTTGTTTTGTTTTCTTTTCTTTTCTTTTTGTTTTCTTTTGTTTTTGTTTTGTTTTTGTTTTGTTTTGTTTTGTTTTGTTTTTGTTTTGTTTTGTTTTGTTTTTGTTTTGTTTTGTTTTTGTTTTGTTTTTGTTCTTTTTTTTTCGGTTCTTTTTTGAAGGCATATTGTCAAGTCGACGGATAAATTTCGGCGAAATTATTACGTAAGGTCAGGGACTATAGCTAATAATATGTCGTGGCTGTCTTCAGCTTCCAGGAAACTTTTATCTTTGACGTCTGTCACTATGAAAGAAAAAAAAATTAAAAAGGCGATTTTAAACTTAAGTAATTGAGTATATAAAAAGCACCTTACGTATAGAAATTACTTACACCGGTTAAATTTTCCAAATATAAATTACACTTCCACAAATTACTAAATTTTCAAATGTCATTCCCTCCCTCTTCTTCGTCATATGCCAACAGACAAAGAGATAGACTTCCTTATGAAGCTTTTGAATGTGCCGACTGTTCGATGATAATTAATATTTACCGTCAACTCCAAAACTATAAGAGAGTTCATATTCGAATAACAACATCAGAAAATACCGTTATACAAGAAAGCAATTATGATTCTGCCGATGATGTAGATGTCAGTGATTGCGGTACAAATAACTACCTTATCTCCTTAGTTTAAAAATAACTTAAAAAGTAATTTGAGTCTCTACCACCGTTGGCATGGATGTTGATGACCACATCAATTATAATTGCGGATGCAACTTTGAAGAAAATGATGGCAGGGCTCACGTTTATCACGCTAGTAAAATTGGCTTCAACAAATTCACAAAAGATGAAATAATGAGCATTCTTCTTTCCCAATTGATGCTGTAACACAAAATAGCCATAGCTGCTAACAGGGACATTGTAAGATTTTTTAATACGGTTATTCGGGACCAGGATGAGATAATGATAGGTAATAGAAATGAGCGTATGGCCTTGATGCATTAAATTTCTTAACATTACATTGGTGTTTCATTCAAAACCCGGAGCCAAAATTAGCTATGGTGGGGCTGTTGATGATTTAGTCAAAGCTGAATCCGGTGTTCATGGCCGCGAATATGATGTCTGTCTGAACAGCTGTTGACTGTATAAATTGGATGATGTAGAAGACGAATATATCGACCGTGACAAAAAACGTTATAAGGCTAGCACTGAATTGATGAAGGTCCCCAACGCCAGTATAAAATTGATGTCTATCAGTGATCTTCTTTCCAATATGATAGTTGATCCGCACAATAGAGAACTTCTAAATTATAGAGCCAACAGGCAACCAAGTAACATGCAAATGGGTGATATTTTCGATGGGCAAATTTACAAGGTTCTGGTAAGAAGGGGATTGTTCTCCAATCCTGACGATATCGCCAATGGTCTTTATAGCGATAGCTTTGTAAACCAAAAGAAGCGCAAAAACTCCTTTACAATTATGCACAATGTGATATTCAATGTTGATTGTTCCATCAGGTAACCACTTATACTGGTCTTAAAAGGTACAAAGTCCTAAACACGAGACATTAGATTCAAAAACGGGCATATGTTACAGCTAGCAATTGTACCTGGTCCTAAAACATCTACTGATCTGGATTCTTTCTTGCGACCCATCATCCACGAGTTAAAGGATTTGGAAACCCATTTGTTTGTTGTTAAACGTGGTAATATCAAAATTTGTCGCTCAAAGGTATGTTTGTTGCTGGCTTCTGCGTATATTCCAACTGTGGCGGATATGGCTAACATCGGTTCCCAGAGCAGTACATACGGTTGTCATTTTTGTGAATCGAAAGGGAGAAGTCCAGAAAATAAGTCTCATGGATTGTATTTCGGCGATTGTTTTGCTTCATCGAGACCACTGCTTCACTACATGACTGGAAATCCTATAAGTATAATGACTTTATCTTTTGTTTTCTCGAGACTAATAAAGTGTACCTACTATAGATAAAAACCATTTAGCAATCTAGTGCTTGTAGTGAGCTATCGACATTTTCCTGCTCCTCATTTTTTGCGTTGGATGAGCTCCATCTTATAGCCAGAGGTACCCCCAAACATGTATATGATCCGATCACAGTAGAAATTTCTAAAGATCAAAAGTACTACTATACAAAGCGAGATAAAACCGGCTCAATCGCCAAATATCCTTTCCACATGTCAAGAAACAATTCGGATGTTATTGGGGATTGTATCACTTCATCGAGAAAGCGTGTCCCTGTTTATTTCCAGGGTGGCTTCGACATAGTTTTTATAAAGACTGATGGTACAATTGCGGTGGATTGGTTGGAGTTCATTTTGTACATTGTTTTTACATTGGTTGTATCTTACCTGCCTAAGAGGTCTGCTCAAAAACAACGTACTGGGCTTGGTCAAAGGTTGTGCTCTTGCATTACATGGGATTTTACGCCAGATCTGATCAGTTAAATAGAGGGGTAATTCGGTATACTAAAGTATGGAGAATTCAGTTTTTTAACTGAAATATATTCCTTTGACAGGTTCTTTGCGACTTGGCACACCTATCTTTTGTAGCATGTCAATTTGAAGAGCACCTCTCTCGGAGCTTGTTTCGTCCTATCCAACAGTACTTTATTTACATTACATACTTCGTCAAGCAGCAAGGTCCCTTCAGGTATTACTCAGCAAAATCTATGGAGAGAGTGACTGGTGTATACTCCAAGATAATTAAATCAAGAAAAGTGAGCGGTAGAAATGCAAGTATGCTATTCGAAAGATTTGCAGTTCGTAAATTCATCAACAGCATTATCGATATTACGAGAGAAATTGATTTGATCATACCAGCCGGACCAGGTGACAAGGATTTCATGGATCTTCCGAATATCCTGGATGATTTGCAGCTTTCGTCGTTGCTTGGTGGTAACGCCTCTCTGGATGGTTAGGTGATAGAAGATATCAGATGTGGCCGAGTAAAGGATGCCTTATATAGCTTTTACCGAAAATCTAGTGGTCTTAATGCTGCTACTTCTTTCCGTAATTCTGAAATTGCCATTGCTTCTCGTGCTTGGATAAATAACAATGTTTACTCCTCCAGCATGTACCAAAGACGAGGAAACGAGATAAGTCGGGGAAACCATGACGTTATCCTTACCACCAGCTATAAAAAGTAAGTCAACTCCTGTTTTCATTGAGTTAGCTTCTCACTCCTTTTACTTTTTACTATTTCCCTTTTTACCTTAGCCATTTCCACGTGTTTATTCGCTGTTGGCTTGTCGGTGCTATTCAGTTCTTTTTAAAGCATGTTGACTTCAATAATATCACATCATTTTTTGGGCTAGTCGATATCATAAAACACCGCGACGTGGCCTGACACGACAAGTTTGTTCGAATTGTCAAGGATCGTTCATGCTAAACGCAAGCAACATTCCCGGTCATCAATGTGGCAGACATTGAACATCAAGTTGGGTTAATCGAGTTTCCTCCCAATGGAAACCAGTTCTACGTCATTGCCCCCTACTATGTATTCAACGATAATCTTCAAACAAATAAAAGAATCCTTTTCATTTTATAAGTTTTTGTAATCGCCATTCGTTTCATTACATTTCTTTTTTTTTCGGATCACATGTCGAATGAAATAAGGTCATATTTTCTTGGAGCAAAATAATAATAAAAGAATCACAGAACTGAAAAAAGAACTTCAGAAAAAATCTGGTTTTTAAAATAAATAAAAAAATACCATTTGCTTCACAGGCACAAAAAATTATTTTTTATACGGTAACGCATCAATTTCGGATCGAGATTGCATCACATTTTTGGCAAATAGCAATATAATTTAAACTTTGAGATAGTTTTTATAACTTCTAAACCACAGAATGACGAATCCAGAAATGTTTTCGGAGCATTTTTGCTTTTTTGTGATATTATGATCATTTGTAGCTTTTATTTACTCAAATCTTATTGGCTGAGAATATCGAGCAAATAAACAAAATGGCAGGAAAGCTTCCATTTAATTCACAGTTGCTGTTATGTCCGCCATAGTCTTACAAGTGCATAGTTTTGCTGAAAAGAAGATTATAAAAATCAAAAGGATCAATTAGAATTCTTGTCAGATGTATTGATGTTAAAGTTAAGGAAAAATTTTAGAGGAGAAAAAATAAGAGTATTTATAATACATGAAATGGACGACCTGAGGATACTATCTTAACAAAATGAGTATGCTATTAATAACAATATCTATATTGGACAATTAGTGCTACGAATAGTTGATACAGAAATAATAATCATAACTTGTCTTAAGTTTGAATATTGATGTTATGATACCGTGACACTTTAAAATAAAGACCGTATTTAGCGGATTTCCTTTTTTATTACCGTTCATGATTTAGCTATGATTTATCAGTGATGCTGACATAGCAATTTATTATATGTATAATTTATATCTGTGATTTGGCAAACTATTTTAAATCATTGGAGACGTTTAATAGTATCCAAGAACGTATGTGTCTCCTTGGAAATGTAACAAAGAACCTCCAGTATGATATGCTTTATCTTCAATGACAATTTTAGGTATTTAAAGAATGGGGGATTAGATTAGAACCAACGTTTTTTTTAATACTCATCCTCCTCGTTTTCCGTCCAGTAACACTGATAAATACAACTTAAATGTTCCAACGAACTCCGAATCTTATAGCCATACAGCGAAAACTGACGAGAAACACAAAGTACGCGCATAAGCATCAGTCTTGATCTCTTTACGCTTAATTTTTAAGATCGTCAGAAATGTCAATATGGACCATTTTACGCTTATTGTTTGGGCTTACGATTAGTTTAAGCGATATCATTTTACCCTCATTTTTTAAGCTTGTTCTTAGTGTCAGGCCAGATCAGTTTCCGTATTATTTTTGGTGTGAAATAAATGATTATTTTGATAAATAATATCGTACCCTCGTCCTACTTAATCAAATATAATTATTGCATTTTGATTTCAAATATCAAAAGCAAGTGCTATCCAACAAAACGTCTTGAGGAAAGACTATTTACAAAGTTTGATCACACAGTAATCCTAAGGCAGACCTAATAATATTATTACGTAATGAACTAGCAAAGCAAATGAGGAATTGAACTAATTGTAAAACGAGCATTTATAACTTAAATATACTGTCATCATGAGTCAGATACAAGTGCATATGTCATGATCCTGTTACATCTTAAACCCCAAATATGCTTTACGAGTAACCGGATTTCATACTCAATTTTTGTCATTGATCTGTCAGCTCTTTCAATCCTTTGTCATGATCCACATAAGCTATGACTAACTTTTGTCATTGCTTATTCTTTTCTTTTATTTCTTGTTTCCTTTCTTTATAAATATCGCTGATAAATTTGGCTTTTCCCAGTTTTCTTTATAACATATATTTCATAAACATCTTGAATTTTTTTTACCTTTATATTCCTAAATAAATAACCTGCTTACAAGACGCTATTTATTCTCTTTTCTGTCCTGCCCATCTCGTTCCTCCTCGTTCCTGACATCATATGTGTTTTCGTATGAACAAAAAAATATATCGCTCTGGCCAAAAAGTTATCCTTAAATATAATAACTTACCATGCCAAAAAAAAAAAAAATCAAACAGGGCGGTAAGAAAATAATGTTTTCTGATACTAAAAAATAAAGTTAAAAAATATATAATGTCATCCTGTTATGTCGGTAAGTAAAGAATTAAGTTTTGATCTAGTTTCCATACTAACGAACGAGTGGACGCTCCTTATAAAACAAAGAGTTGTAAGTGTCGAACTTGGGGCAAGAAATTGAGGTGACTTATTGTGGCGCTAACATGAGGTAAGTGTGAAGGCCCATTGATATGGTCTGATGGCGCCGTCCAATAGTCTTGATTCGAGGGCAGTCTCCCAACTGTATATGTTGGTTTGGTCACACGAGGTGCAAAATACTATTTGTATATACATACAGATCTATATATGGTATACCAATGGTTTGCAGCCAAGCATCCATGACTCCGAGGACAAGTTATAAATTCTTTCCTAATAACTGTTTGATTTTATCATAACGTTATTCTTGTAGTGAAGGAAATCTATCCCATAATATTTACATAAATGGGTATTACTTACCTTAGGGTCATTGTACAGTAGAGATGGCAAATGTGAGACAGTTGTAGCGTAAGTTGAATATTTTTCTTCCGCCAGGTACTTCCATTTTATGGAGAAAGGTTATTTACTGCTTACTAGATCACGGAATCATTACTGGCACCACGTTTCTTGAAGAAGTATCATGTATCCAACTGGTAAATGTTATTAACCAATCTGGATTATTAAGGAAAGCATATCAGGTACGAAAATCTTCAGAAGCGACATCTTCCGGAAGGACCGTTGCTTTAAACTCGTTACAAACATATACCTTATGCCAGACAATGAAGATTTTTTTGTACGCTCAGCGAATACAATTAATGCAGCCAAACATTTCAGACAAATATCTCGCGTTTTTAATCTCGAATAGAATGATGCTTCGCTTATTTGAAACACTCGAAGACAGGTTCAATTAGATGTCAAAGATAGCTTTAGACAAACGTGAGACTTATCCAAACGCCGTCGTTACTGCAATCTTTTTATAGTCGGCCTACTAGTAAACCCTACTTCTATAAATTAAACATTAATATTTTAATACACCATCACTGGAGGCTGTAAGAGACGTAGACAATAATAAAATAAAAACAAATAAAAAACTCAAGCATGTTTATTTACTGGTAGATACAGGCTCGTCAGAACAGCACATATTTACTGAGTGAACATAAACAATTTTCATGTGATATCCCAGCCTCTACAAAGGAATTAGTTTATAGTATACAAGAACCTTAGACCTGTCAGCATTCTGTGAATAATATCAGCAATGTGTCATTCTTTTAAGCTCCATTTTGATAAACGTTACCCCCCAGTTTGAAGAACACCTTATGTAGACTTCGATATTTTGACGCAATCGAATTCCGTAATAGGACTCAAAGGAGAATGTGAAATGTCTTTCTAAAAGCGTTTATAATAGGTAATCATAACTTTTCCCCTATTTATTTTGAAATATAACACCCATTTTGTATGCGAAAAGATCTCAGATGAATTTAAAATACAACCCTGCATACAGGTATGACAGTATGTGAAACTGTTGAACTGTCAAGTAAGATGCCATAGCAACCATGATTGAGTGGTAAGAAGAACATCTTATAGATCTGGTCCAGGGCATATGGATTGATCCTCCAAAATAATACATTCAATCGTATTACCCGAACATTCCAAAGATATCTTTAAAAAGTAAATTTTTTTCGAATATGGACTATTTTTAGAAATCACAGATTTAAAAGACAATCATTAATGCATGAAATAAGGGAGAATTTCGACCCCCAAACGTGGGTTTTTTTTGTTTTTCTTCCGAAAAGCATTCATTTGAGGTCATGATCTTGACATTGTACAGAATGAAGGCTTCTAGCTATAAATTCCAAACTGTTATGACAATCAATGTTAACAGCGTTAACGTCTAGGGAAAACTCAGATTCAATGTGATGTACAAACTTGAGGGGGTATAGTTCTAAATGAATTAATACAAAGGACGTCAAACTCAGCGAAAGCCTTTCTGTCTCTTTCGGGTCGCATGAGTCTTTAGAGGTGCTAATTGTATAAACAAAATTAAATAAAGGTAATTTTGAATTAACCTAAAATTATTTGGGTGTGATTAAGTTATATGAGCAAGACGTTACTTAAATGAGAAAATTTACTTTCGCGGAACATCTATTTTTAAAGTCGCATTCGGTAACAAAGCTCAAAATGACTACATAACTTGATAGCTTTACAGATGTAATTATCCTACTAAACACCAATATATATTTTCCATAATAACCCCTTACAAACTCAAAAATAAAACCAAAACATTTCTACACACACTTTGGAGTTACTAACATATTTTTAAAAAAAAGATTTTATTTTCTTCTCCACGAAGAAGAGCGTCTCTCCGCCTTTTCTTTTTCTTTTTTGTCTTCTTCTTCTTCTACAGAATATAAAAAATGAATAAGTAAAACGTTATCAAAGGACATCTACAATTAACAACATACCTTCTTTTTCGGCCCTATCGAAGAGAGCCTTCAATACTAGTCTCTCCCGAGCCTTTTCGTAATGAGCTACCCTTGGTTTAGCGATTGGGCGTACGGGAGAGACAGTAATTGAAGATCCCTCGACGACAGGGACAGAAGAGACAGAAGAGACAGAAGAGACAAAAGGGACGGCCGGGACAGAAGCAGGACAAGACAGAGGAGGGACAACAGCCAAAGAAGGCAAAGCAGTCACCGGAGTGACAAAAGCCACAGAAGAGCCCAAGCCAACGGTACACGCCGGAAGGACCGACAAAGGAGTCACAAGGGACGGCACAGCAACAGACGAAGAAACGTCACCAGAACGAGGAACGAAGCAGGGACGAACGGTTGTGGCAGGAGGAGGAGCGTCATTCTTTCGCTTATCCCCACGGTGTCTTTTCTCACAAGGAGAAGGCGAAGAAGGAGGAGAAGCAAGGAGAGCATCCGCGGCTGTAGCTGCAACAGCATCAGCTACAACAGCCGACGAAACAGCAACACGACGACCAGAACCAAGACGACGAGGCGTAGCCACAGGACGAGGCAAAGCAACAGCAGGGGCCTCAACCACGGCAGAAGCTGCACCAGCAGAGCAACTTCCAACAACAGAACCAATCTCAGCAGCAGCCAAGGTCACAGGAGCAGACGTCAACTTATCCCCAGGAGGAGACACAGACACACGGCAAAGGTTTTCAGCGGCTGGACAAGGAGCAGCAGAAAGTCCAGAAGCAAGAGGAGCAGAAGCAACAGCCACACCCAAGACACCAGATTCCCCAGAAACAGGGACAGAAACATCATCAACCTCCATTGCGGAAGCAACCGCAGGCAAGCTACCACTGGAAGCCGCAAAGTCACCAGGAGGAAAAGCTTGACCAAAGGCCAAGGACGAGCCGACGGAAGACGAACAGTCTCGACCAAAACCGAGAGAACCAACGTCAGTCTCAAGATAGCATTGAGTAATGGCTTGGCAGCCAAAACCGAAGGAGACAGACGACGAGTACCTTTGGAGGGGAGGACGAAAGGAAGGCATCCTACCACCAGAAAGACAAGGCAAACCAGCAACACAGGCACAGTCCAAGGAGTAGCATGTCATGTCCAATTTCATGGACGTGACAGAGGCAGCAACAGAAGAAGACAGAACAGCAGAAGAAGTCAGACGAGCAGACGAAGAGGGTCCAACAAAAGAAAAGCTAGCCTCAAGAGAAGAGGAGCCCACAGAAGAAGAGCGAGCCGCAGAAGAAGAAGGAGCCGCAGAGGAAGAAGGAGCCGCAGAAGAACAAGGAGCCAAATAAGACGAGGACGTCAAAGAAGAAGAAGGAGAAGAGGGTAACCCCAAAGGCTCCGGGTGGTTGTTTTGGACGGTGGCCAAGGGTGTTATCCTACCACCACGAAGGACAAAGAGCTCACCAATGACAACCGTTGGTTTTCGACGGCATCGTCGACGAAAACACGAAGACGCAGCAACACAACCAAAGAAAGAGGCTATTTTTCCCCAAAGGAAAAGTAAATTAAAGCTGGCCGTGTACCAGACGAAAGAGAAAAACAAGCGAACGCGGTGTGTAATTTCACACTTTAACCTATACATTAACAACATTAGCGTTGCGAATAACATAAAAATCTTCCTTTTCTGTTAGATACTTACGGGTCGATAAAAGCGTTTTGGAGCATTTTATTAGACTTGTTTAAAGAAAAAGAAGAAAAAAAAAACCAAAAAAAAGAGAGGACCGCGTTATAAAAAAAAACGAGATCGCTGCGCAGGGTATATTGATGACGTGATTTTTTTGAACAAAAAAATGTAACTCAGTTCGGAAGATACATACAATTAGTTATCGATTCAAGTAACGTTTCTTTTTTTTTTTTTTTTTTGGTTGATCTCTATGAATTGAATGGCGTTATCGTCCTTTTTTCAAGTTGACGAATGCCCTAGTAGTAATTGCATAATGAGCTAGTGAGAAAATATAAATTAAACAAGTTTTGTTGTGATTGCAAACAACTTATAAGGCTTTATATAGTGAGTATATCAAAATAATAAACAAAGCATGCCTCAGAGACGAAGACACCTTTTAACCTAGAATTACATGACATTACGAATGTGTAACAGAAATTAATTAGACTTAATCGTATGATTGTTGTTGATGACAGGAAAATTATTATTTTTAACGTCCTGACTGTAGTTTAAGTTAAAAATTGATAAAGGGCAAGCATAAAAAAAAGGCTGTGGGTATACGATGAAACAAAAAACGAATGAACGGCCTTAAGTCTGCTATTACCTATCGAAAGGGCAGTGTTTTATCAAAGAATGTATTAAAATTGTCAAGAACAAAGAGGATTGAGGCAGGCAGGAGAGATTATTATTAATTTTTTAAAAGAAGATTTTTTACTTAAGAAATAATAAGGTAAAGAAAATAGAAGATGATTGTTGTGGTGATCTGCTATATTTTTGTTACATTAGATAAGTCAATATCTATGACATCAATACATTAAGAATGATTAACGAATCAATTACCCAATATAGATAGTTAGTACTATGATATCACAAGGTTACAAGAACACAGTGACTAAGGCTTACTAAAGATATGGAAATACAATGAGTCTAAGATGACAGTAATTCCAAGTGTAACATATTTACAAAAATAAGCAGTTAAAGGTAATAGGATACACACTGGGGAAATGATAACAACTTCAAAGATACACTTAAGATAGTGGTACGGCAGATAGCCTTTTTTATATAAATACTTGTTCATTTTATTTCATAATAAAGACAATCTTATCAACAGTCTCAAATTACTTATATACTGCCTTATAATTTTACTTACATATAAACAAAACAGTTGTGAAAACTGAGAAAATTGAAATTTATCAACCATAATTGTAGAGAAATAAAACAAGAAATTAAATAAAACAATAAGCAATGACAAAAGTTAGTCATAGCTTATGTGGATCAGGACAAAGGATTTAAAGAGCTGACGGATCAATGATAAATATTGAGTTTGAAAGCTGGTTACGTATAAAGCATATTTGGGGTATAAGACGTAACAAGATCATGATAGAATTATCCTTGATCATAGAAACCCTTCAAATTGGGGGTACTTATCCACTTTATTCATAGTTGGTTTGATGGAATTGTTGTAATGATCCGCAGTATTTCGTCCAGTGATATTTATTTAAAAACGGTTGCCTTTAATTTCTGCATCGACAACATTGAATCTGTTTCCAGTCATAGGCACCTAAATTCCATGTTTATGACTCCGCAGGTCGACATTGCGCCTATAACAGTATGGCTTGTAGCTCGTTCTGACGGGCTAATAACAATAGCGGGTGTTACCAAGCTAATATGAATTTAAGTAGATTTATATTTTTATCAAAAGCACTCTCATTAATAAAAATATTTTTTTTGGTGCATTACATGTCTTTTTTGCACACGTATCTACCCT